CCCCCCCCACGGCAGTTTTTTTTCGCATGCCTTCTCATGGACTCTCCCGGCACTGGAAACGAGTGAGTCGCCGTCACTCAATCATGACCCTAATTTTGAATAGCAACCATCCATGTGATAGTTATATTAATATATATTATGATATTATCCGTATATAGAGAGTCCACGTCATCATTCCTAGAGAATTGCACACAAGTCGACACCCATTGACTCGACTGTCGAATAAATTGCCAACCAGACGCTAACTTTCTACCTCGAGGCAATAGTAGGCTAAGATGACTTTTTCCTTCAAGGAAACAAGAGAGACCACCATATCAAACAAATAATTGGAGATTGCTGCGCCCCAGCCTCGGCGTGTGCACGTGAAAAGGGCTTCACCCCGCTGTACGCTCGCCCAGAGATCCCCCAGATTAATCACTTATTGGTTGGATGCTGCACTACTCCGCAACTAAGTTATATCAGGGCATTTACCCGCGGTCTGGGGTAAGATCGCGAGCGCCACGTGCTTTGACGCCCACAATAATAAATACCTATAGTCATTCTGGCTGGCTGGGGACCGCGCTATTTCTCTAGCTCGCGTGATCTGACTTTCCGAGATAAGCAGTAGTTACGCAGTTAGCTTAAAAAAAAAAGCTGACTAGCTACGTATTTGCCCCTCAGCTCTTCCGAAAGCGCCGTTTCCTCCCAACTTCCTCCCTCTTATTAGAGCGCTCCTTTCCTCCATTCCTCTCTATATGTACCACAGAAAGACAGACCACCTTTCAGCGTCAAGATGCGGGTTCTTGAGACCGTCATTCTCGTGTCCGGGCTCTGCCCAGGTGAGTGGCGGGCACGCAACATATCTCGGATAGCATCCATTGATGCATAAAGACGGATTTTTATTAATCATTGAGTGCTTTTCTTTTCTGTAGTCACATTATCCTCCAACGTTGATGTTCCGGCACGAGCCTTACCCAACGCTCCCAATGGCTATGCACCGACCACCGTGACTTGCCCCCAGAACCGACCTAGCATCCGATCCGCCGCGACGCTGTCACCCAATGAGACCTCATGGCAACAGCTGCGTCTGAACTCCACTACTCAGGCAATGAAGAATTTCTTCGGCAATGTCAAGATCGCCAACTTCGATGCTGTAAACTACTTGACCAATGTCACGACCGAGCAACCGCCCAATGTCGCCATCGCCGTCTCCGGTGGAGGGTATCGCGCCATGCTAATTGGAGCCGGTGTCGTCAAGGCTTTTGATAGTCGTACTCCAGGGAGCTCCGGCACAGGTCAACTCGGCGGCGTAGTCCAAAGTTCCACCTATCTCGCTGGCCTCAGTGGTGGTAGTTGGCTGGTTGCGTCGATCTATGCTAACAATTTCACCACGATCTCGGCCCTGCAGGATGATACCACCAATGAAGCCTGGCAACTGGACCAATCGATTGAGGAAGGCCCCATCGCCATGAATACCACCACTTACTTTGCCACCATCGTCGAACAGGTCAATTCCAAGTACAAGGCCGGCTTTAACACCACTGTCACAGATGCATGGTATGGCCAATCATGTCCCTTTATTCTAATTTATCCAACGCTGCTTCTCTAACTTCTTTCATTTTATTCAAAAAAGGGCTCGAATGCTGTCGTTCCAATTCATCAATTCCACGGACGGTGGTCCGTCCTACACCTGGTCATCAATAGCCCTGGACTCCCAGTTTGCCAGTGGAGATATACCTATGCCTCTCGTAGTGGCTTGTGTGCAGGGAGAGACAATTTATAGTACCAACACAACCGTGATGGAATTTTCACCCTTTGAATTCGGCTCGTGGGACCCAACAGTGTATGCCTTTGCCCCGCTGGAGTACTTGGGCTCATCATTTGATGGAGGCGAAATCCCCTATGATGGTAACTGTGTGAGAGGATTTGATAACGCCGGATTCGTGCTGGGAACATCGTCGTCCCTTTTCAACGAGCTCGTCGGAACCGCTTTAGCCACTGAGCTACTTAACCCTCTAACCAGTGTTCTCACCAGCCTTGGGCTCAACCTTGATACGACGCATGAATATGTCGCTGAGTATATCAATCCTTTCTTTAATTACACTCAGAACAGTGGACTCTATTCCGATTCCCCGTCGTTGTACCTCGTAGATGGTGGAGAGGATCTGGAAGCAATTCCATTCCAGCCTCTGATTCAACCTGAACGGAAAGTAGACGTTATTTTCGCTGTCGATGTTAGCGGCGATACAACATATGGGTGGCCAAATGGCTCGTCCTTAATTGCCACATATGAGCGCAGTGTTAGCGACACGAATATTTATAATAGCACATCTTTCCCTGCGGTACCAGATGCGAACACGTTTGTTAATTTGGGTTTAAACACGCGGCCCACCTTCTTTGGATGCAACAGATCTAATTTCTCGATCACGACACCCCTTGTTGTCTATCTGCCAAACTATCCATACATAACGGAGTCGAATATCTCAACGTTCGATTTGACCTACAATGACAGCCAGCGCGATGCCATAATTCTTAACGGATACAACATCGCCACTATGGCCAATGACACTCGAGACTCCAGCTGGTCTACATGTGTCGGCTGTGCCATGCTGAGTCGATCATTCGACCGTACTAACACAACCGTCCCCGCTGCTTGCTCAAGCTGTTTCGAAACATTCTGTTGGAACGGCACCATTGACTCCACAACGCCGCCGCCTTATGATCCTACGATTGGATGGATGGCTTCAAATACTACCAATTCGACTGGAACTACCACTAGCAATCCCACTAGCACTCAGGCCACGAGCAGCGCGGCAACCACCACCGGCACAAGCGCTGCTATTCCGACTGCCATGCCCAAAGCAGTTCCCTTTGTTTTGGGTGCTGTTTTAGCTCTATTGGGCTTTATGTGATCTTTTCCTTTAACGATGTATTAATACAAGCTTTCTATAAGTAGAATATTCTCAACAACAGTGAATTTGAGCATTTCCCCATAGTAGTTAGGGTTAGGGGCAGGGCTAATGATTATTCTATTATTATATTAATTAAGTAAATAATATATTAAAAATTGTAGTAGTTTTAATATTATAAACTATAACCGCACCCTATGGATTAATATGGATACAGTCCACAGTTCAGGTTTGGTTCATAACAAGTCTAGGGGTTAGGGTTAGGGTTAGGGTTAGGGTTAGGGTTAGGGTTAGGGTTAGGG